GATAAGAAAAGTTAGGGAAAAGAGAAAATAATTACAGGAGATCCAAACCATTGAACTAGAAAATTTCTTAACACTTAAACATACGCTTTTAAACTGTCATAACGAAACTTTCGGTTCTAAAATAATAGGGTCGAAAATACACTATTTATGTTAAACTTTCCAATGCGAATTTCCACAAAAAAGCTTAAGCCATTGTCCCTGTTCGGGACCCATGAAAATCCTTGGGGTTTTTCACGGAAATGGTTGTTCAAAAGTGCGAAATAAAAGTTAGCAACCTAGCTGGGGAATTTCCAGAAGATATAGGAAACGACTGACTTACACGAGCTGTGCCGAAAATTACAAGAAATAAGACAAGTCAAAGCTTATCAGTAGAAGAGTTTTAGGCTCAGCTATCTTCGATGCTTGAGCGCAACTTAAACCTAAGCTCGTATGTGAGTGCGAATATTAACATTTTAGTTTGTTTACATTTCAACTATTTCAAGTAAATAATTTAAAAACATTCGATTCGAACAATTTCAAAAACAAAAACAACAGCGATGATGCAGAAATCTGTTGACAAATCTTCATCTTCAGGTTAATAGCGTGACCCACCTTTTCTTCGTACGACGTCTAATCGTCACTTGTAACAGCCCAAAGTAGTCCAGGTCGGTATAATCGAAAGGCCAACCGTTGACCTCCAGCTGGTCCTCGGGCAAGGGACCCATCAATGGCGGAATTAATCCCGCTCTTCCAAGTTTACATACTTGGCAATTGGCAATAATTTTCTGTAAAAATCTCAAATACGTTGTCTAGAACTTCGTCTGGATCTCGCTTATGGTTGCATCTAGGTTCTGGTGCTTCATCTTCCCGTGGTAGTGACCGACGATCATCTCCGCCTGAACGTGTTTGTGTATCAGTATGAACGGGCAACGGGTGCAAACTGAGACATAATCGGCGGCATCAACTCTTCCACACGCCCGTATGATTCCGTCATCTTCATAGTAAAGCGAAAGTCCTGGTTAATGATTGGCCGTCGTTAGGGCCTTTCCTTGGTTCTCATCCGCCAACGCCTCAGACAGCGCTCGCCGGAATAATAAGCACTCTGCCTCGGCGCAGTCAGCAGCAGAAAGACGTATGTACTTCTTATGTTAGTAACGAGTTCAACGGCACTGTCGAATATGCCTTAGGTCCCACGCAGTGTCCCGGACCAAAGGTTGATAAAACACCTCCTTAATATCTCCGCGGACCCCGACTGCTCCTTTCCGAAACTGGAAGAGCACGGCTGGCAGCACTGAAATCAATGAAATCAATATGTTGCCGACCTTAGCTGCGACGTCGAAGTCTAAATGGAACTTTCCAAAGTCTTTTTCGACCCCGAAGTGCAGCAGGTGCCAAACCCTGTCAGTATTGGCTGGAGTGCCATCCTGCTGCTGTATTGAATGTTGAGTGCCTCGTCGTCCTTTCATAGCAGTCCAGTTTGGTATCGCTGGCCTACTCGCTTAGTGTTCTCGTTGAGGATGCCCATAGCACTTGCATCGCCAATAGCTGCAACTGGTGGCGACGGCTTTACTCAGAAGTTCTCTATTTCGAAATCGCTGACCATCTTTTCCGGAAGACAATCCTATGGCACGGCTAAGAGGCACGATTTCGGAACCCAACCCATCCAAGCTTCGTGACGGCTGCATACGAACGTCCAGAGCCAAAGCTCATGCTTTGCATGGGTATTTCCAAGTGCGCATCGTCCAGTTCAATCAGAATCTTCGGAGTCGCGTTACCATCCAGCTTCATCGACAAGCGTTCGCCGCTTTGACATCTTCTCGACGCAGTCTCTGCGGCAGGTACTGTTTTGCATTTTTTGCTTCGATGATCTGCAGGCTTACCATGTTGGACCCGCCACCAAACCATTGAATATTGAGCTGCCGATTCTCACTTTCTCAGATCGAGGCTTTGAGCTTTTCATATACCCATATAGAGTCACGGACAGAGCATCCTATTCCAGCCGCATTCCTAGCCCAGTCTAACCTTCTGCTCAGGGTACAGCGTTGATTAACTCCCCACAAATAAAAGCAAGCAGTAAAAACAATCACGCAAGCAGTAAAAACAATCACGCAAGCAGTTGCCTACCGGTTGCCAGATACGCGGCGAATTCGCCCGTAGCAACGGTAATGTGGAGAGAGAGGGTAGTGCCGTGTGCACAGAGAGGGACAGGACGACAGCAACCGATTTGAGCTTGGCGTATTGCCCGGCGTGTCAGGCAGAGTTGCACAAAAACAGTCTTTCGACAAGGAACCGTGGGCTTGAAAGGGAAGATGTCTAGAACTAGCTGCCTTACTACAAGAATCGCATTGTTCACGTCTATAAATTTGGTGGGTCGAATACATACAGTTTCTGAGCTAGCCGCATGACATTCGTAGCGAGCAGAATTAAACAAATCAGTTCGTTACATTGGAAAACTCATCTTCTAATTATATCAGTAAACAAAATGTAGTTTTCTTATTTTTAGTTTTTTAAAATAAATATGCACTTCATAATGTTACCAAAATATTTTTATATATAAACAATATCCAAAGAACATTTTTTAACTTTGTTGTTCCGCTGAATTTAGACAAGATTTTGGCTGTTTCGCCAACTTTATTTTGCATTTGAAGATTTCCTTTATAAATCGTTGTTATTTTTTTACATTACTGCTGGGAAATCGCTATGTTGTAATCCAAGTTCCCAACCAGTCGATATCATCGACATCATCATTGGCAAGGATGTTTTCTCACCTACGCGAAAATAACATTTCTGTTAAGAAAACGTAGGTTTAAACAATTCTGTTAGGAGAACGATGAGGAGTGAGCAGAACTAGGGCAGGGGAAAAGCCAAGTAGAGATGGCAAAACAGACTCTGTAAAAAAAGACCCAAAAAAAGCTAGACAAGGTTGAGACAGTTTGTATAGGAAACAGTAACAATGACAATAACAAATTTCTTACGATAGTTCTGCCGAACGCGTATGATCCACTGATCATGTTGCAAAAAATTATTCCATTATGATCAGCAATAAAGGAGCGTAAAAATAGTACGTTAGCTTTTCTTGATACATGATACATACATATATGCTAGCCTATATGGATGGTGTAAATATCAATAAACAGAAAAACCTGAATGTAAACAATAAAAATTAAAAAACAAACAAAACAAGTTAAAATGAATTAATTAATGCGTAATGTATCATAAACGTTCAGCAGAAGAAACTTGATCACTGAATACGCTCAATGATTTTGAACAATATTTAAGTTTTAAATTCATATTTTAAGAAAAATTTTGTCATTTTTCAGATCATTGTAAAAATTACCAAAATTGCCGTTTTAAAATGAGCTCGATGATTTATTGGTAATTTTTTAAAAATTTGTTGGACTACGACGTTAAAAATTTTATATTTTCCTCTTTAAAAACTATAAGTGGAATAAAAGAAAATACACCACCGCCGTGTATAATATTTTTCATGAACGGAACATTTAAAATAGTTCCCAATGGTTGCTTTAAGCAGCTTCTTATTATTTATATTCAGTATTTTTTATATTCAGTATTTTGGCGAGGTAAATACTTAAAAATTTTTAAATTAAGACTCATTCCTGATAATAAATAAATAAATAAAGAACAATCGCGCAATTTTTCTTTATAACATATTATTAATACATCTTAATGTTTTCAAAGATTACCAAAAATCATCACAAAAATTATAATTTTTGAAGTTTTTACCTCGTAAAAGTGTTGAATAAAAATAAGTAGAAGCTTAAGGCAACCTTTGGGGACTGCTAGTTACTTAAAGCAATGAAAGAGTCCTTGGTACAGTAAACTTGTTGAAAGTTCCGTAAAAGTCTTTATATATAATCTATCTATATAATTCTTAAAAAAAATTTAGTTTTTAAAATTTCAAAAATGAATAGCACCCCAAATTTGGGGACATGTTTAATTTGTGTTTTCTATGTTTTGCATTAGAGCATTATTTTGGAGCCTTATTTCTAGGTCCCGGAAAACATCGATGTCGCACCGCCAAACACCGATAGGACCTCTAACGATATTTTCTTACCACTGTTAACTTTTCTCTCCAGCTCTTGCACACATAGCCTGGTTCCACTCCACTCCTCTTATGATATTTTTTAACACTTTTAACTTTTCACTCCAGTTCTTGCACAATCAGCCTGGTTCCGCTCCATTTATTGCACACTTTCTGTTAAACTTCTTAACATCTGCTTAAATGCACTCAGTATTTAACACCAATCATGAACAAGATGTAAATAATGTTTTTAATACAAAAAATGGAAATGAGGCATTTTAATTATAAACATGCGCTTTAAACATAATTATGATTGCCATTGGCAAAGTTCCTAGTACTTGCAAAGCCATTATAGATCATTTCTGTTGTTAGTTTACTTTGTAAAATTTATTTTGGCTAATGCTGATTTAAAAATGTAACGGTTGGGAAAACGGGTGCTCCTTGTGACATTTCAAAATTTCAAGTGAGCAAACCGCGTTCGAAGAGTAATTCCTGCAGAAACCATTACGCTCCGGTTCGATACCAGCATCGATGTTGGCATCGATGTTGGCATCGATGTTTCTTTCTCTCTGGTCCAGCGTTGCCAACTCTTTAGGTCATAAAAAAGCTAAAATAGCCTTTGAGGGTAAAAAACGCTAAAGTATTTTATCGATATTTTTTGTATATAATTCAATCTTAGGCATTTTTAGCGATCGAATTATGATTCGAATATAACTTTTTAGTGATGGTATTAAAATCTATCTAATTGATTTCACACCTTAAATTAAAGCTTATGGATTTGGTTTTTTTCTATTCGAAAAAAAAAACGAAAAAATACTATAGTGTATATAGGTGTGGTATGTATGCAAAAACACATAAAGTTGCCAGAGGATTTTAAAAACTAATTTTAAATAGCCATAATTCCCGCTACCCGCTATTTTACAATTCATTACGCATTTGGCAATCGAAACACGATAGATCTAGTGGGAAAATAGCTATATTGGCAACACTGCTCTGGTCACACAATTTTCGTAAACATTAAAAAGTAGCTCTAAATTGAGTCGGATAATGTCGCAAATACATTAGTGAAAAACAAAGAATGGAGGTGTTTCAGACGGACTCGCACTATATATTCGTAAAGCAGGACAAGAGTTTGTGGTGGCATCGAAGGACATCAGAGTTCTCGATAAAAGCAGGTAAATTACAGGTCTCAAAACAGTCGAATCAAATGAATCATTATTCTGCCTTCGTGTTTGTGTCGTAATGTGCACTGTTTCTTTAGTAATCTGGGGTCAACTTTGTTATTTATTTCATTCAAATAAATGATGCATCATGTGAATTTGTATGGGCAATTGCTACTTCCTGAAAAGAGTAGTTTTTCGTAGTCTGTATATAGGCGATGTCCATGTACATATGTATGTACATACATACATACATATATTTCAAGGGCGCAAGCTTTGAAAGATTATTTGATGAACAGCGGTTTACTAATTTAGTTCACTGTTTTCCATAATAAAATTATTATTATGCTATATTATTATATACCCTTCCCTTCTATTAAAACCGCTACGGATTGGAACCCAAGTCTAAATTGTTCTCATTAATTTTAAGGAACTGGTTAAATTTATTAGTTTTTTTTGTTTAAATTACCTCCATTAATTGCGTTCGCATGAATTATTGTCCGTTACATTATTGACAACAGATAAACTTGAAAAAGGGGTTATAAACTCAGCAATTTTTCTTTTAGTTGGCAACCTGCCTTTTTCTATTAATAACCCATATAACTAAACATCGAGCGGTCAATGTTTCTGTAACCGCTAATTGCTTGTTTATTGTGCAGCAATTAAATTTGGATCAATTTGCTAACACGCAACCTGACGCATTTTATGGAATCCAACAATATATCTTCTTAGAGTTCAAAGTCTTTGGGGACACTTTCTGTTTTTCATGACTCATCCGCCGCGTGACCGTTGACCCATCCGAAGTCCATAAATCTTTGCCAAGGACACGAAAAACGTTTGTCCGCACGATGAAAAGTGGTATCCCATCCGAAAAAAAGTTGACACAATTTATGAAGGCCAACTCTTTCTATCCAATTCGATAGCCATCGGTGCCATGGAAAAACAAGATACGTAATACGATTGATAAGATCAAAAGAGTGATCCCAGCTGTAAGCTTAAAAGAGTTCCAGCATCTTTGAAATTGTGCAACACAACCTCTAATCCACATAAAAAGGAATTGCCAAGGATGCACGTAATTGGGGCACGTAAAGTACAATTGTACATTGCTGTTTTTAGGTGCAAGTGATAGATGATGTTTGGATTCAGTGCACAGTAATGAGCAGTTGTAATCCCAAAAGCAAATATGTAGTTTCACACACAACGCCCCAGATGTAAATATGTAAACTGAAGGCTTTTTGTTTTAGATGTTTACACTCGCTAAGTCAACAATGTGGTTTGAAAAAATGCTTAATTCAGGGGGCGTATGCCCCAATAAAGACTCACAAATAAAAAGATCATGAGGCAGCAGAATAGTATTTATCTATATTATGCAATTTAAATCCAATTAAACTTTATAAAAGTATGTACTACATAAGTGAAAGAATTACTTATTTCCCTATTTTTTAGGATGGGATCTCAGCTCTGTGGACGACATCGAGTGCATTGGAGTTACACATGGCGTTGTGGGGGTGATCTCGCTGCCCAATGTCTATGAGCCCCATCTGATTGTGATCAAGGAGGCAACGGCAGTGGGTGTACTATATCCACCCCACTTGGTTTACAAGATCAAGTCCATATGTATTTTGAGCGCCGAGGAACCGGACACCGATTTGCCCAACTGCACCAAGCACTCCAAGTGATACAAGCCAATTACGTGTACTTCTCAACGATTAATTTGTTATTTACCCATCTAGGAGCAACCAGTCCACGCCCACTCACAGTGTCTCCTCCAAAAACAACAATGCCAGTGTTCCGTCAAGCGGCGGTGGCCACTCAAAGAGCACCAAACTGTTCGAGGGTATGAACAAGACGTGGGGCGCCGTTAAAAGTGCCGGGAACACCATCAAGAACACCACGCAGCAAGCTGCAAATTTGGCCACCAAGCAAGTTAAGTCTTCAGTGGGGATCAGGGAACCGAAGCACATCGAACGGCGCATCACCGAGGAGCTGCATAAGATATTCGACGAGACGGACAGCTTCTTCTTCAGCTTCGACTGTGATATAACCAACAATCTGCAGCGTCATGAGGCCAAATTGGAGGAGAATCAGTCGATGCCGGATGAAAGATTCTTTTGGAACATGCACATGATACGGGATTTGCTTGACTTGAATGTCAGTAGCTGGGAAAAGCCGTAAATCGAAAATTATTATTAATTATATTTCTCTGCAGGACAAAACATGGATATTGCCCATCATTCAAGGATTTATGCAAGTTGAGAACTGTGTAATAGGCAATGAGTGCTTTACATTGGCCTTAGTATCGCGAAGATCTCGTCATCGAGCGGGAACACGGTACTTCTGTTAAAGATACGCATTCCTTTCACTTTAATATAATTAACAATGTAAATTTGCAGCTACAAGCGACGTGGAGTGGACGAGAAGGGTAACTGCGCTAATTACGTGGAGACGGAGCAAATACTCTCCTTTCGTCACCACCAGTTGTCCTTCACCCAAGTGCGTGGTTCCGTGCCGATATACTGGAGCCAGCCCGGCTACAAGTACCGACCACCTCCCCGCCTCGATCGTGGTGTGGCCGAAACCCAACAGGCCTTCGAACTGCACTTCACCAAGGAGCTGGAGATCTACGGGCGCGTGTGTATCGTCAATCTGGTGGAGCAGAGCGGCAAGGAGAAGACCATTGGAGATGCCTTTGCCGACCACGTGGTTAAGTTCAACAACGAGCTGATGATATATGTGACTTTCGATTTTCACGATTACTGGTAATACCCAAATCCTGCCGACCAGAATCCCACTAACCACCATTTACAGTGTTGTGAACAGACTTTTTAAAGGGGATTAGTTTATAAAGCGGTTTCAGTTTCCAGTTTTTATGTTGCAGTGCCTTAAGACAATGATTAACAACTTCACATAAGTTTAAAAATCTGTTAGCAATATGGAAACGGAGTGTAGATGGTAATCAGTGGGATTTAGAAGTTCGATGCATTGATTCATCATTCATGTTAGACCAGCCATTTAAAGATGCTTTTTGGTTTCTTGTTCTAGCCGTGGTATGCGCTTCGAGAATGTTTCGGCGCTGATCGATGCAGTGGGCCCTGAGGCAGGCGCTATGGGTTTCCACTGGCGCGATCAGCGAGGAATGATATGCAATCAGAAGTCCGTGTTTCGGGTGAACTGCATGGACTGCCTGGATCGAACAAATGTGGTGCAAACAGCCATTGGAAAGGCGGTTCTTGAGTCTCAGCTAGTGAAATTAGGACTCTCACCACCCTACACTCCCATTCCGGAGCAACTGAAGTCCCATTTCATGGTGCTATGGGCCAACAACGGCGACATCATAAGTCGGCAGTACGCGGGCACCAATGCCTTGAAGGTATTTACATATTCGATGTATAATTGATATATATTTATTTAAACTTACTCTACAACAGGGAGACTATACACGCACTGGCGAACGCAAAATAAGCGGCATGATGAAAGACGGCATGAATTCGGCCAATCGGTTCGTATAATCCTACTTTCTATACACTGTTATTATACCTTTTTCTCGCGGAGTAAAAGGGTATATTGTTTTCGTTGAAAAGTATACAACAGGTAAAAGGAAGCGTATCCGATCAAATAAGTATATATATTCTAGATTAGGATCGAGTCATGTCCGTTTGCCTGTCGAAATCTTGGAATCTACAAAACCAGAGATTTGGGATTTAACATGTAGATTCTGAAATAAAAATGTGACAAATGTGGCAAAAATCATCACTCTTTGGATATTTGAAAAACGATGTGCTGCAGTTCGGCAGATGGCACCCCCTAAAACCCAATTGTTTTCTGAGGGCATTTTTATTTTAAAATTAATAAGCTGAATACCGGGTATCTAATAGTCGGGAAACTTGACTATGCCGTTCCTTTACTTGTTGTACTTTAACTTGCTCATTATTGTTTTTCCATTATCAATATGACACGTCATTACTTTGTAATCAAACTAATTACAAAAGACTTGGACGTCCACAAGCCGTCAGCACATTTTGGATAATCGGAAATCAAATCAATCAATACTGAAAATTCCAAAAGCCTTGTTATGCAATCATATACGTATTTCTTAACCAGTATTGGGCTATATTCATACATTTTACTAATGCTGCATGCCTGTTTCCCCATATTTACACCAACCTGATAAGAACTATTCTATGTTTTCCGTCCCAAATTCAAAACCCAAATCTATGCAATGGGTATCTTTCTAAAACCACGTTCTTTTACCGATGCAACGACCCGTAGCTAATGCCGTGCCCAACTTCTTCGTAGATTTTTCATACAAAACTTTGCCGACTCGTTTCGCCAGTGCATCATTGATCTGATGCAGGGCCAGTTGCTACGGGCAGAGGAGCTGCAGGAGGACGAGGTCCTGGACACCATCCTCCAGATTCTAACTCCCGAGTACCGACCCCCGCTCCGGGGCTATTATTATACCGGTGTGCTGGGTCCTGAGCTGCAGTTTCTCGAATCCATCGTAACAACCAGGTGCGCAGCTCTGAGAGAATGCCAAGATGATGTAGATGGCCAAGAAAACCAGACCAGACCAGACCAGACAGTAAAAGTTTTTAGTTGCTTTCCTTGTTATTTATCCTATGATTATTATTTCCCAAAAATGTACTCTTTCCCACCATACGCACTCCGCTTAGTTTTTTAACATTGTTCTCTTGTTTCCCATTTAATGAGGCTTTTCGAACTTTCAGTTATTATTTGGCGCGCTTTAAGGACTCTTACCGCCAGGCCACCATCGATCTTATGCTAGGTAACCAGGTCTCCTCAGAGTCACTTAGTGCTTTGGGCGGCCAAGCGGTTCCGGATGAAAACGATGGAACGGAAAGCGCAGAGCATGCCAGGTTGCTGGTGGAAGATTGCCGTCGCCTGCTGCTGGGAACGGCTCAGTATCCCGTTGGAGCTTGGGGACTTATAGATGCTGATCCAAGGTAAGTAGGCGTATTATATAAAGTGTTGCAGTTTCGATTTTTTTAAAATTAAAGTGGAACCAAGCGCAAGTAAAGTCCAGTCAAGTCAATTTGTTGGCCTAAAACTTAAACCGAAAAAGAAAGTAGAAAACACCGTTTACAACCGAGAAAAATGTTCCGCAATATGTACTTTACAAATGGTCATACTTACAAATACTACATATATGCTGTACTTTTCACTCCTCAGCTCTGGAGATGCCAACGAGACGGAGGTGGATTCCATACTACTCCTTTCGGACGACTGCTACATCGTGGCTGAATACGATGCGCAGCTAGACAAGATTTTCCGCTTTGAGAAGGTGCAGCTGACGCAGGTGCGTCTCATCGAGTTGGGTATGCATCAGCAGACGAAAATCTTCCATGGTTCCGCTCCAGCGCATCTTTGCCTGCGTCTCAACTACAGCGTGGAGGAGCAAGAGGGCTACTTCCACATGTTCCGGTCGGCCAATTTGAGATTCTTCAACAACATGGCCTATGTGATCAAGACGCAGGAGGAACTCATTGAATCGCTGACCTCCATTGTGGAGATGTTTCGCATTGCCCTGGACAATGCTGGGAACACAGACGTTCGCTACGTCACGGGTGGTGTGCTGCAGCGAAGAAAGAGCAAGTTGCCCTCACTGGATGTACCCAAGGGCATGCCTCGTAACCTTTCTGAATCTCAGCTGGTGCAGTTAAGCTCCAAGGCTCTGTCGAATGTGGCGGGACAGTTCTCGAAACTGGGCCAGACCTTCAAGAAGTCATCGAGCAGCCAACAGCAAGCGCATTCCAGCAGCTTGGCAGCGACCATAAATCCGCAAGTGATGCGTCAGTCAGGAGGTAACGAAATCGAGCCTGGAGAAGAGGCTGAAAAGGCAGTATTTATTCTGGGTCACAAGAAGCGGAATTCAAACAGCGCCAGCAGCGAAGACACCGATGACCGGGACAACAGCTTGTACGAGCCCGAGATGGACTCCGATGTGGAGATAGGCACGGATAAGTCGAACTACAACGAGAACACCTTCCTTCCGTCGGTGGGCATTGTCATGGGCAACCAGAAAGAGGAATCGCCCGGCTCCTCCGATGAGATTCGACAGTTGGAGCAAAAGGATAGCATGTGCAAGACCGCCGAAAACGTGCTTACCATTTCCATTACCTCTGTGACGGATCACGTTGGTCTGCCCACGGGCCTGCTGGAAAATGCCCCACCAATTCGACCCATCACTCCCAATCCGCTGATCTGTGTGCAAGCTCAGGAAGCCTTTGACGACGTGGAAGAAGAGGTGAAGCCGCTCTCCAGGTCTGTATTCTACAATTGATCTTTGGTTGTAAACCACACCGGTTTTTGGTTAATCCTTCGTTTTTTGTCTTATGTTGTTTGCAGTAGAGACATTGTTAATGTAATGTAAGCCTTCGGTCAGTTTTTGTTCTCTCAAGCTCAAAGTATTATTATGAACCCTCTATGCGTTTAATGTTTTCGATCTTTATAGTAAATACCTAAGACTAGCATGTATAATTGTACAAAACTGAAATATTAGTGCCTGCTCCATACCACATACACTCGAGCCGTTTCCGGCCAAAAATTAGCTTAAAATAAAAATATTTTGCTAAAGCAAGCCGTGTTTCCTTTGTAACAATTTGCCTGACGCGATTTCAGTTCATCGGCCAGAGATCTTATCCTTCCTGTGGACCTTCCCACTCAGTCGGAGGCCAACAAACTGAAACAGCTCGCTAGTCCGCTCTCGAAACTGGCCAAGAATATTGGCCTGAACCTAGATCCCCGCAAGATAGCCTCAAAGGTAAACTAAACATATAATATCTCGTATACTGTTACTGAAAGAATATTATATTGTTTGCAGACCGGAGTCCTCTCACCCACCACTCTCTCCAGCGAGAATTCTCCGCCGGAGCACTGTCCAAACTCACGGGATCATCTGTTGGAGCTGTGGAAGACCGAGAGCTGCAAAACCAAATTGATAGCCTTATAAACGGGCCAATATGCAAACACATATACAAGCTCTACACTTTTGAATTCATTTGTGCAAGTGATATATTTATTTACAAAAAAACACTACTCAATTAAAACTGTTCTACCTGTTGTTTGAGGCACTTACGTTTAGGTTACATTAGGCAAACAGTATTACGAAAATTGCAACGAATTAGAGGTTCTTATAATGTAGTTTAAATACGCTGATTTGTAATTTCAGCTGTAGTGAGTTAATACATTTTTGCGTGTTTAATGTTGGAACTTGTTCTTTAACACCACTGTAGAATTTAAAAAATATTATTTTTTTGTGTTTAGTATATATTTTGATCGTATTGAAATCTGTGGACAAATAAAAATTTCTGTAAAGAATTTCTTTTCAAATAGCTGTTCAAATTACGTAAAACACTATTTTAAACATTTTTTAAAAAAATTTCTTATTTAGATTAACAGAATTTATTTTATTAACTTAATATTTCTTTTAAATAAAATATTTTTTTCTACTGTAGTGAAAAATGGTTCCCAAATTCATTTTGGCATCAAATTAGCCAAAAGAAAAACCCTTAAAAATAACGTATTTAGTGGGGTACTTTAAAAAAAATTTACTCTGAACAATAGAGTTTTTGGTATAAACCCACCCCATGGTCATCAAACTCATTTTTTACAGTATTGGGAAAGGTTCTATTTTTTTGGATCAAGGTAAGGTACAAGGTCAAGGTGTTTGCGAAATCAAATACTTAGGTAAGGTAAAAGTATCTAAATATGGTAAGAGGGACAAAAAAACATGTAAAAAAAAAGGTTTTTAATGCAATGTTTTTAATAATAATTTTGAGGTCAATAAATTCTTCTCAAAGTTTCAGATGAAGTACGATATTTTTATACGGTCTGCCAATTAAGTCTGGTTGTAGAAACATAAAAAAATTAAATTATCTTCAAGTTGCAGTGAAATTATGATATTTTTTATGTTCACATTTTCAAAAATAAAACAAAATTGAATTTAATGGTCTCAACAAACAAAACAAAATAAATAGAAACATTTCAGTACCTTAAGATGCATAAAAATCTCTACCAAGGTAAGGTAAAAGGTAGCCACATATTTGTTTTGCCTAGGGAAGGTACAAGTTATCATAAAAGTGTGCGCAGTAGTATGTACGTACGTCCCAAGCATTTTGAATCTTAATTACATCATTTGGAAAAACTCGATAGCTGATGGGAAATTAAATATAACTGGCAGTACGTTTTATTTCATAAATTTGGTACAAGAAAATCAAATGCCCTTTCTATAATATAAAAATTGAGTTGAATCATAATAGTTGGTAGAATTCAAACAGAAAAAAAAACTAGAGACACCTAATATATTGCCAAAACCTTGAAACCAAATTTAGATGTTCGACTTAAATTAAAAAGCTTTAAAATCATAGGTTCCTTAAAAAAAACTAAATTATTTACAATTAATATTTGTGAGTAAAAATGCGTATTTATTTATTTTTGTAATATATTTTTTATTAATGAAGTATTTTATTTATCATATAAAAACTAAATACTTAAGATGGTATGCGTTTTGGGTGTACCAATATTTTTTATCCGCTTGGTTTAAAATAGATGCAATTCGGGTTATAAAACAGTTTCAGATTGAAACTGAAAGAACTAAAAGGATTTCAGAAAAGTCAACAAATGTTTAACGAATGCTACACAGACATTTACAGCTTGAAGATTAGTTTGATAATACTCTGTAGTGTGTTTGTTAACAAAAGAATATTTTATGTTACGACATACAATAAAAATATATGAAATATACACACATATGTGTGTGTTTAAATGCTTAAATTGTGATTTGCGTATAGCAACTATGGACCAATGGAAACTATTGTTGGTGGGAATCGTTTTTGACGAGGAATCCTATCAAAAACGCAACACGTCATGTCAAGTTGTATCCCGTTCCTAGATGTGGCTTGTTTACATAAGCGATAAACAAAATGGCAGCCCGGCAACAACCCCTGAAAACTTTGGGCCAAGTGGAAATCAAAAATCCATTAAATCACCACCGAAGCGGACCCTGTAACACTGTCAATCAGCTTACATATGTATACACAAGTGGCTCTATTGATATTGGACTTTATTTATGCAAACTTTGGACCAATTCTCCGGCAACTTTTGGCCCGCCAGTTGATAAGAGCCACACGCTGTTGCGAATGCGGATAAGGATGCTTCCGATTCTTTGATGACCAAGGCTCCTGGTCCAATATCATGCTAATGTGTACGCACAGTTGCATCAATTGTTTTTCAATCAAAGTGCCATCAATCTTATTGGCAGTTTGTTTAATTAACGTACGCATTGTCTACCTACAGCCATGAAAAGCAACAACGAAAAAGGAAAGTGGACGGCTGGGTGTCAGCTGGGTGGGTGGGAAATACATACATACATATGTACATACGTACGAATATTTCATGCCAATCCATTTGACCCCGGTCTCGCCTGATTGCCACTCAGACTCCCCAACAAATTCAAGGATGCACTGCCTGCCGAGGTGCCTGGCATTTTTCTTTCGCATTTCACTTCTTAACTTTGTCCGTGTCTTTTGCGTCCATTAAGTGTGTCTGTGCTAAGACTTGGAAATTGTCTTTTGAATGTTTCAATTACACGCCTTCTTAAGCACAGCTCCCTTTCAAATTGAACCAACTCCAGCCAAGACCCGTCCGGCTTCCATGGGCGGATGGTCGGATGGGCGGATGGTCGGATGGGCGGAATGCCGACGGACGGAGAGAGTGATCTGGGCTGCCTTTTCTTTGGTGTATTCCTCTTTCGTATTCGTTTCGGTTTGGCTCGGTTTTTATGCGCCAATAAAGTGAAATGCGAAGATAGTCAGAGGATTTACTGCCCTTTGGAGTAGGTTACATGGAATTTGGGGTACATGTGCATGTGTTCCGCCCATCCCCTGGCCAATTTCGTTAAACACTTTTGCCTTAAACCATTAATTTCCTATACGTTTGACTTGTACGTGCTGGCAGCGACTCCTGCGTCCCAAACCTCTATGGAAAGTTAATTTTATTGCTAAAAGCGGGTTAAGTGCTTGGCGCACAGCTGAGTGCCTCGCCACCATTATGTGGGTGGGGTCTCTGTGATAGAAATCAAATTTGCTTTATGGTATGTATGCTAATTTGCTGTCCGGTTCGGGCTGAGGAGTAAAATCCAGGGTCCAGTATATGGCTTGAACCTCCGTGCACTTGATGGGCTTTTAATCCCGGGTTGCGTTGGCCTGTGCGAAATCTTTTGGAAGTTTGAAAGTACACCATACATTATTCGGGCATAAGTTTGATAATGACAACTATATTTAAAAAAGACCCCATTCTACAGTTTTTAAACAGCCGGCGTCGGGAAAAGCTTTGTTTAAAAGAAGCTTACCCTAATGTATTTTAAGTATTTTTAATTCCTCTTACAGACAAAAAGCATTCGATTAAACAAATAAATTTTTTAACTCTGCAATCTGCAAGAGAAAATACCAATTTGGTTAAGAAACTGAAATATTTAATAATTTTTCATTACAAATTTGATATCAAGTATTTTTATACCCTTGCATAGAGGCTTGTTAAGGTTTGCTTCCTTTCTTGTTCATATATACCGTTCGCTTGTGGAACCAACCACCTAATAGCATTAAAACAATCAAAAGTCCTGTCCAATTTAGAATTAAACTATATATTTCACTGCACGTAATACAAACTAAAAAACAACAAAATACAAAAAAAAAACAATAAAGGAAACAAACTTCGGCAAGCCGAAGTTCATATACCCTTGCAGCTATTGCAAAAAAATTGAAGACATAAAAATTGTTATTTACTGCCGTGTATTTTTAAAAGCATTGAAGCTGTGATGATTTGCAGCTCAATTATTTGAGCTCCTATGGCAGCTATATTATATCATTTTCCGATTTTAAAAAAATTAAAAGCGTAATTCTTCAAATTATTAATTAATTAAAAAGAATTTCTAAAAAAAATTAAAAAATAAAATGGTTGCATTTAAAAATTTTTTTTTTTTAATATTTTTATATTTCCTATGGGAGCTATATGATATAGTCGTCCGATTTTGATGAAATTTAAACGAAATTCTGAAATATTTAACCATTACTATATGTCGAAGAGCAAAAAAAAAAGAGCAAAGTTATAATTTTATTTTATGTATTTTTCCGATTGTTCCTATGGGAGCTATATGCTATAGTCGTCCCATCCGGCTCGTTCCGACTTATATACTACCTGCAATAGAAAGAGAACTTTTGGTACCAATGTCAAGTGTCTCTTAAAATCAAGTTATACATTACAATCAGACCATTTTTTATTACATTACAATTTTTTTGTTTAAAAAACCATTGACTAAATGTCGAACTTGTTATGATAGAAACATAAAATATACAAATAAATATATTAAAAATTTTTAATTTTTAGTGAAGTTTTTCTGTAGTACTGATTGGACAAGTGTATAGTCATAAGAACCGCGTTAATTGTGACAAACTAAAAATTTTAAGTGGAGTTCCTGAGCTTGGGCTGGTAAAATTTAACACAGTTTAAATTTTATTCAAAATACGCGTCGAATGACACCAAGCTCCGTCTTGGATCCCAAGCTCCGTTCAAAAGTTATTCAAAGGCTATTTTTATTTGGTATATTTAAAAAATTTAAAGTTTTCTACATCGTTTCTCAATTTCAACAAATTTTAAGGACGTGTTTTAGAATTCTGAAATAATTTTTTTTGTCTTTGGCAGGTCGTTACAAAACAAGTTTATTTAGCGGGAAATCGCTATAACTTCTAAAGTAGTAAAGGTACATTTAAGTGATTTAAATGCTAATCACTAACATAATTGCTCTTAATAAAATAAATCAGATATATGGCAAAAATGAGCCATACGGACATGGCTAGATCGACTCTACTAGTGATGCTGATCAAGAATATATATACTTTATAGGGTCGGAAACGTCTCCTTTACTGCGTTGCAAACTTCTGACTGAAATTATAATACCCTCTGCAAGGGTATAATAAACTTACTAACTTAAACATACAAAAATGTTGAGTGTAATAAGAATAAATATTTTGAAATTGGTTAATGGCCGGCG